TATTTTTGAACTGTTGTAAACACGGACCAGGAATTCATATAGGAATGGGCTATTTTTTTCTTCGTCCTTTTAACAAGTAATTAAAGTCATGCGTCAGAGTTTCTTCGATCCTGCGTGATCGTTAGTTGAAGTTCAACAGATTGTCTTTATTTTGATGTTAGATCGCTACATTATTGTAATAGTCTTTTTGTGACTAGTTTATATTGGCACTTTGTGATTTGTTATTTTTTTAGCTGAATTATGAATCTAATCATAGAATTTATTAATAAAAAAAAGAAAAAAAAATCACGCGTAGGGGTTGGCTAAGTTTCTAATGTGGACAATATTGAATTTATTTTTTTAACATGTTTATTATTGACACCTTGTTTTTTATTCTCAAAAGATAGGGTGGGCTAGAACCCATAGGAGACTAAAGCCTCACAAGTCACCTTCAATATTGAACCAATGAATCCATTAAAGTTGAAAGTTTTCATGCCGTTTACATCTCTTAAACCATTGAAGATGACCACAACACCCTCCTAAGATTCGCAAGTATTGCAGTGTGGTTTGGGCGTAGAGTGATATTTCATTCTCAAATGACAAAATTGGCATTTCATACTCTTTGATTGAAAAAAAATATTATTAATCTTGTACATGCTATGTACGTGAGCAAGTTATTACTCAAGAAATTGAGAATAAAAAAAATATATATATATATATAGAGTAATGGGAGAAAATATTATTTTTGCCTGCAAATTTAACTTATTTCTTTTTAGTGTAATCTATATATATAAAGCGAAAAGCAGAGAATGGTAAAACATTTAAAATACTAAAAAATGCCATTGGTTAATGCAAATATTAAGAATTGAAATTATTAATTAGATTAGGATAATATGGTAAATTAACACTTTTTCATATTAAAAAAAATTCAAATAATAGATTCTATTTTTATGAAATACAACTACACATTATCTTTTTTAATTCTAAAATAAATTTAATTTTTTTAAAAAAATATCTCTGTCAAGTGCGGAAGCGCATACAAAAAGACTAGTATAAATAAGAGCATAATTGGCACTTCTGCCGAACCTTATCTCCTCCAAATAATAGTAAAGGTGATACATGTCCGTTTTTCTTAGGATCGGATTTAGCTGCCGACTTGTTTCTATGGGAGTCAAAATCAAGCCGCTATTTAGAAAATATAATGAAATCATAATATTCATGCTTTGACGGTTTGCAAAGGATTCCCAAGGGATTCGCTTTTCACTGTCTCCTTTTTTTTGTTTGAAACTCCTTTTCATTTTGTAGAGGCTAAGGAACACGCTTATCCTTGTGGGTCCCCCCAAAACACGGTGCCTATATCATAATGGAAGAAAAACACGTGGCAGTTGATAATAATAACCCATGGTGTTAAGGTTCTCAATGTCTATCATTAATTTTGGTGGAACTCCTTGTCAAATATGAACATCAAATAGCCCACTGAAAATAGAGCACTATCCTTATTAGGAAATGGGATTAACTTTTAGGTATTTTTATAGGAAAATTAATAGTTTAAATGGAAGGGTCAAATTTTGGACGTTGGAGATCCTTTCTTTGAGAAAATACACCGCTAGAATTGGAAATATAATCGATATTGATATAGCGTGATTTGAACAAATAATTTCAGGTGCAAGAATAACAACTCTTAATCACTCGAAATACAAACTTCTGTATTGGAAAGATTTTAAATTGAACGTAACCCTGTGTTAATCCAATGACATACATTGTTATGATATATGTCCTTACGAAACGCCATCATGTCTGGCCCGCTTCCCAATCTCAAGATAAAGACGTGAGAAAAATGGCCCCCAGGGATCTATCACCGCCAAATACTTCTCTTCCCCGTGTGAAGAATTCCCGCGTCTGAAAATCAAATAGTGTGATTGACAGGCCGCAGGCGACGTGTCGTAACTGTAAGAGTTGACGCGGCTACAGGTCGGCCAAGCCCAGCAAGGGCTCCACTCAATGTCAAATCCCAACCTACTTGAGAAGTTCGACCCTGTTCCTATTTTCGATCCAATATTAATGTTTTCCACTCCTTTTTTTTTCTTTTTCTAATTGTCATATTTAGAAGTGTCTGGCTAGGAATATTGATATCAATAAACATTTTCCATTAATAAGAAAAATATTTGAGATACATCTAACTATACTTAGTACAGTGGGATTTACATTTACATTCACGCACGAATGTATAGACGACTGTTTTTAACATAATTATATTCACTAATACAATTTCTTCTCACTATTCATATCTAATAAAATTAGGTCCTAATTTCAAACGGAATTTCCGAATCACGCTAAATTTGAAATATTCATATGTAGTGAAAAAGGAAAATTTGGGAAATTTTATTGTATTGCTTGGTTCATTGATCTTTTTTATTTTTTAATTTGATAAAGGTTCATTAATCTGAATAGCAAGCAAGGACCATCAAGGTGGAGTGAAGGGCTCCCATGCTGTCATAAAGAAACTAATAAAGTGCATTATTATGTAACTTTAATATACATTAAATTATTTGTTGTAGTTTGCCCGATGAAGATGCAAAAAGTACAATTAGTGACAGAGACTATCTCTCAATTTAATAAGCTATATATTAACTGCCATGGACATGGAGCTGTCGTTGACCCAGTTGAAGATGTTTCCAAGGTATAGATACAGTACACATATAAATGCCATCATTGTTAACTACAACTAAAACAAATATTCCATGCATATGCAGATTTTTTTTTTTCCAAATATTTATTTAAAAAATAAGTAATTAGAGAGTTAATTAAGGAATATATGAAAGAAAAAAAATGTATTAATGTTTTGAAAATGTCACATTTTCTAATTATATTCTGAACTAGTTTTGTACTTCAATGGTAGTGCAAAAAAACTAAATTATAACGGGAATAACATTATTATACTATTCTTGACCAACAACGCAATTCATTGCGTTATTGGCGAGAAAATAAAAAAAGCGCTATCCCCGAGAATTTCTCCCAGGTTGGTGGGGTGGAGTTAGTTGTCAGTCAGTGGTCAATGGTGGTGGGGTGGAGTTAGTTGTCAATGGTCAATGGTGGTTGATAGAGTGATATCTAGAATTGCAAAGTACATAGCGTGATATCAATGAAAATTAAGATGAAAGGTGGAGCGGATAATACTAACATATTAAAGGGAGATTTTGGAAAAACCCAAAGGAAAGAGAAATTTTGTAAAAGAAGCCAAAATAGACAAAATTGCCCTTATTTATTTTTTGATTTCCTAAGGAATTCTTTACATTTGCATGTCTTTGATTTTAAAGTTGAGAGTTTTTTCTGTCTAGCTTTTTCAAAAAGTGAAATTTTTTTTATGGCTAAAACCTAAATTTACTCATATTTATTTAAATAGGTGGACAACTACCCATCACAATAAATAATAGGAAAATTATATTTGAATAATTACGCCGAGCTAATTTTTTCCTAAGCTTAACTTGTATTGCTAGCTAGTTCTCAATCCCAAAAGAAAAGGAGACACTTTAACTGATTCTCACTCCAAAAAGAAAGCCGACCTATCTACCAAAACCTCCAAGTTCCATACCAAAAGAAGAGAGTGAGCACCTACCTCTCAAAGAATAACAACCAAAAGAGTCACCTAACGAAAGAGTCACACTGCTACACTAGGCACACCAAGCTCATCAAATATCTGTGACTAATAATATTATGTCGATGGAGGAAAAGAAAAAAAGGAAGATAGTTTATCGAATAACTTTTCGATGTGACAACCGCACTTCATGTGTTCATAAGGCTTTATTCATTTTATAACCGACACACTCAAATATTGAATTACCGTGCATTTTACCTGGAGCATATTTTGAGAACCCATAATCCCACAACGAATTTCTTAAACAAAAAAGTTCATAATTTTCAAGTTTTATAAATTATTAATGTTTTAATTGTTGAGACCCGTCGCGCAAAAATTCTTTTTAGTTTCTTTGATCCCTTATGTAATTTATTTATGCCAATAAATATACTGTTGTTTATAATTTGATGATATTGTCCTCTGTCAGAAATCTACTTTAGGATTACAGGCTACGTGGAGGCATTACCTCATTACATAATAAATCCATGAATTGTCGGTACAATCAATCTCCTCAACTACCTTCATCATATTTTATTTATATACAACCAAATTTGGCGAGCTCCACCTGATTCTTGCCTAAATCATGTTTCAACTTCATGTTTTCCTGGGTCAAAGGGCAATAAACTTAAATGGAACCATAACTTTGACTGCTTGTCTGAATGATGCTATTTCTCACAACTTCTTTTAACAACTTAACTGTCAAAATATATGCAAACTACCTACGTAAAGAAGGGGCTTGACTTGCAATCCAGGTTCGAATTTTTATGGCACTTAGGTTTGAATTCTTGTAACATTTTGGTAGTATGCGTATGAGAAACCATTCTCCTCTTATAATTTAGACTATCACTTGTATTTTAAAAAATAATTCTTTATCTGAAACGTAAGTGTTTGTTTTTATAGCGTGTGAGTGATTGCATGTAAATGGGTGTAAATTTTCTTTCAACTACAAAACAGGAAGAAAAAAAAAGAAGATTCCATGGCCTGGTCTTAAACATTCTAAGCATAGGATTCGGATCCCTTAAAAATTGTACCGTTTTCATACATTGTGGCGATGATGTGTCTAGGACGGCTCGCAAATTTGTCCTTTTTTATAAATAAAAGAATATACTCACCAAAAGAAGGCAAGGGCAACGGCCCAAACATATTCAGACACTCGTATAAATGGCCAAAGCCCAACAACCAAGTTAACAAGCTAAAGGCCGCATAATATAAAAAAGAAAATGCAACGAGGAGCCTGGATGGCCAGCAGTTTCCAGACGAAGAAAAATACTGATGATAGGGGGACTTGCACAAGCAACATTAATCACATTCATAATCAGAGAATTTATGTCAGAAAATGGGAGTGACCAACACTATGATAACTCCCCTTGTAACACATGTTTCTCATTTAAAGAGAACTTGAGGATGAGAGTTTCAAGCATTCACTCTGGCATCTCCTAAGGCAGATGTCATTCCAGTTTGGAACTTGATGCTGGTTTACACAAACCGTCCGCGCGCATGCATCTGCGCAGGCATCGAGCTCAGATACACCGCAGACAGTGACACAAGTATCAGGAATTGGGTCCTTCGAGAATGCACCAACCTTTTTCAGCATTCTCTTCGATGTGCACACCCTCTCACATACAAAAATTTCATCGGAACTCTTCTCCCTCCCTCTAGCACTCTTTATTCTCTCCTCTTCCGCACGCCTTTTCTTCACTCGAATTGCTTGTCCTGCAACCACTGCAGGGATAGCGGCTAACAGGGACCACCACACTTCCACCATCACCAATGCACTGGTCAATCTCTTCTTCAGAAGTCTAACAGAAAAAAAAGGAAAAACAATGAACTTCGCTGATCATTTAGTTATCATTAGAATATTCGCTTAAGCATCACTTTACAAAATTCTACAGGTCATTTTGGCATAATCCAATGGCTATACAACTAAAGCCTGAAATATTCAGGTCACCGTGAGAGAATCCTTGAATTACATGTAACAGATACAATGTCAACTAATAAAAAAGAAATAAACATATAGCAGAAGTTGTAGAGCAAAATAAAATGAATCCCATGCAAGAACAAGGCCACAGAGAAAATGTACAAGCATTAGTCCGACCTTTTCTCTAATTCAGTTCCAAACATAAGATCACAACCAAGTTGACTCATGTCATCTAGTAGAAAAACAATAGTGAAAGCAGGAAAGATTGCTAAAGGGGGTTGCCATTTGCCAAAAGCCTAGATCAGATATTTTCATTTTTCTTAATATGTTCGAAAGAATATTGGAGTCACCTGAGAAAACAATTGAGTATACTCTTGCCTTGAAAATAAATAATTAACTATCATGAATGTACAGCCATCATACAATTCAAGTTCCAAGGGATATAAGAATCAGGCCACTAAGTTCGAAAATTTTGAAACTGAAAAACTTGAAAAACAATGTAACTCGCACATTTCCTACATTGCAAGCCTCTTTCTGTCAATTTTTTCCGGGTTCATGTTTTCGGGACATCGTTTGACCAAGTCTTAGTAGAAAATATCTGATGACTATATCTACACACATGCAAATTGATACAAGGTGCAGTCTTATTCAACTGGAAAACAAGCCAGTTTATGAATTTCAAAAAAACCAACCATTTTAAGCACAATAGCACAATTTTTGTAAGTTTCCCTTTAACAAGAACAAGTATTTCAAAAATCTCCTCAATATCTTATGCTATTTTTCTTGCCCCCTTCACTTCAGTTATTGGAACTTAGTTAAATAATAATATTAAAAGATAAAAAGAAGCAGACAGATAAATCCTTATGCATACAGCAGACCAACTAGTTATTTCCAATAACACAATTAATTTGTCACAGAATTAAGTATCATAACAATGCATCATATAATACATGAATGCCTACTAGTAAGAGTACAAACACACAGAAAAATTACAGTCTCAAACTCTCAAAGAGGCATTTCATCAACCATTGAGCACAACCTCGTGATCAAAGTTCATATCAAAATCAAGACTTTCCCAAATCAAAATTTTCACAAATGGAAAAAAATTACAGACAAAAATCTAAAATCGCCAAATTAAAATCAATTTTCAGTAAGGGCGGCCAGGGCAGTAACTGATTCAAAATCTTTCAAGATTTCGAGCAGAGAAAAGGATAACTCACTGAAAAGTTTGAAGCTTTGGGAGTTGGAGAAGTAAACGTGCAAGAGTTTGCGAAGTTGAAGAGCTCGTGGAGGTGCCTGTGAATGTAGTGAAGGTGAGGAGCTTCCGAGAATCTGAGGCAGCGACCGGTTAGGGTGAAGAAATGTTTCTTATTCTTGGGCCAGAAGCCCAATCTAAACAGTAAAACCCAATACACCCTAAACCTAAACAGTAAAACCCAATACACCCAGTTCTAACTACACCTAAAATCTGATCAATACACCCAGTTCTAACTGATGATTTGTTTTTTAATTTTTTTTTGAATTTAAAACTTTAAAAAAAGCTCAAAAAGTTGAAGAAAAATCCATGAGTTATATGGTTTGGTTTATTTCTGTTTTAATTTGTTTAAAAATATTTTATACATCATGGATAAAATTGGAAATGTGGGGTTTTTTTTTTTTCAGAGCTGGGTGTATTAATAAGATTCTAGGGTGCATTGTACAGCCCATGGAGGTTGGTCTTTTCAGAAAAAAAAAAAAAAAAAAAAAAAAAAAAAAAAAAAAAAAGGCAATCCATGTCCATTATTTCCATATTGTACATTATTAATTAATGAATCGAAATAAAATATACTCTAATAAAAAAATGACAAAACTTTGGGATAAAATAATTATAAAAAAAGAAGAAGGAAATTTTGATTCTAAATACATGTGCCTGCTAAGTTACAAAAATAATAATATCCTTCACACTGTAGTAGTTTGGGTATCAATCAAGTATAGTTGAGAACGTCATTGAGAAGATAGACTAAAAGCAATGAAACAGGGTATAGTAGGTAGGCCAAGAAGGCTGTCCAGAGAGAGAAGGTTGAAACAGAACTTGCAGTGACACCCATTACAGTGCAGACAATTAGAACCACCAATAATTCAGCAGAAAATTCCCATGTCATTTCACGAGCATAAATTATTGCTAGAAGCACAGAAACTCCCAGCACATTGTTCATAAAAACTCCACCATAAATCTGCATCCAATAAAAAAAGAGAAAAAGAAAAGTTGGTCAAGATATGAAAATGAAAGAAATTTGAATACAATTGATAGTCTCAACACACGCGCTATCAAGGTATCATGGTTGTTCAAACCTGAGACTATTGATGTGCAATTCAAGACTATTTTCTACTGATTTAGACACCGTTGGCTAATTGAAAAAATGAACTTAGAAAATCACAAACCTCAGAAAATGTCAAAGAAGTGGTTCTTGGTGTTTTCCTAGAAGCTGCTTTAATTGCTGAAGTGGCTTGCCTAGCATTTGTTGCCAAGGGGACAAGCACAAATGCTACACAGAAAGAAGGAATGCTTACAGCTGTGGAAAAAGCCTGAACACTATCTATAAGAGGCTCTGCTAGAACTGCTAAAACAACAAATCCAAGCACCAAATATGTTATGGCCTTCAACCAAGCCCATATTGACTTGTCAACAGCTGAACCACCCTTGCTTTTCTCTTCATCCACCAACCTATCTGTTTCTTCCCAAGTTCTCTGCATAATTTCACTTTAAAGAATTAAATTTAGCAATTGTATGCATGCATGATAGTTCTTTTCAATCGAAATATACTTGGCTCCTTATGTGTGAATCACGGTTTGACACGTGTGGAGAAATTTTATATTTTTTCTGTTTTTAACTTGTATATGTGTCAGATTGTAATTTACATGTAAAAAGGAGTGTCTCGTATACCAAGCAATATTGTTTTCGGTCTATTTCCCTTATAACTTTTACCGTTACTTACTTGATAGATATCGTCTTCAGATTCATGCGACGAGGAGGGGGGTTGAGTACCATGGGATTTATTTATCCATTTTGTTAATCCAGTAACAAATTCTTCCTCACTGATCATTTTGTCTCCACTTGTGTCAAGTTCTTCTATCAATTTCACAACTGATTCATCCACGTCCCCTGGAATCTTACCAAACTTGATATCCGCGATCAGTTCTTTTAGTTCTGCTTGCGATATATTATTATTTCCATCAAGATCAATCTTTTCAAACAACCTGTTGTTTTCACGTGGACAGGAACAAAAAGCATAGATTAATTGCTGATTAATTACATCTATATAATAGTTATGTTAGATTACCAAAGAAATACAATGCTACATTAACCCCGGACTCGAAGCTTAAACTGTTAGAAAATGAACCAACATTGTATATATATATATATCAAGCTAACAAATTGTGTTACTATTATTTGTATAATTGTTTGTATACTAACTAATTCTTGGTCTACTAGTATTTCTCTTTTTAATGTTAGAAAATGTGGTGCTAAATTCGATTTCTCCCTCCACGTTGATTGAAAAATAAAAAGTTTGTACGTGACACACGAATAGCAACCAAATGTGGTCTAACCTTCTAATATTTGGTATATCAGGCATGCCATCTTCTGTGAGAATGCTTCCAAGTGAATTGCTTTGGACATGTCTTAGTACTTCTGACATTAGATTCTTCTTCATTTCACGTTCTCTTCTTCTATTTTCAATCCAAGGTTGAAAGACCTAATAAAGCACATACAAATTGATGAGGAAAGTGGAAGTAATATTATGAATAAGGCAATATCTTTTTTCACATAATGCAGTATGTTAATGTTAATTATATGCTCGAGTTACCTCATATATGTTCTCCAACGATCTTTGGGTATGTTGTTCATGCACTGCCTTGACCTCATCAATCCACTTTGTGAAGCCATTGATGAATTCATCTTTAGTGATTTTCCCATCACGATCCAGGTCAAACTGTTTCATCACTTCTGCTGTTCCTTTATCCTTATCGTCTTCCGTTGATATGAATTTGATTTCAAGGAGAAGTTCTTTCACTTCAGAAAGTGATATATAATTGTCACCATCTTCATCCACTTCCTCAAATAGCCTGCAATGTATACACATTGTTCCATTAAGTTAAGCAGTGATCAAATAATAAACAATATATACCCTCTAATTCTTAGACGAAAATCATATATATGCACTGACGGATCATTTGATGAGTAAATTTGGTGACTCTAGCATTATTGACGGATATACAAGAAAGAAAAAGAAAACGCAGAGCTCCAATGGTAGAGCAAATATCCACGCAGTTCCAAGGAAGCCTCACCTTCTGATAGCATATAAATTCGGTGCCCCTTGGACAGTGAGGACTCTCTCTAGTGCATGTTTTTGCACATGCTGTAAAATGCTTGACACCAAATGCCCATGTTTGACAAACTCTAATCTTCTTTTTTGAACCCAGGGCTGGAAGATCTGCAGGGTTTTAAGATGTTGAAGATTATGAGTTCATCATAGACACTATAATTAGTAACATTAGCAAGCAAAAAGATTAATTAGATGTGTATACCTGATAAATAAAGTACAATAAAAGGAAGAAAACAGAAACCCAGAGAGCAATCAAGATGGCAATGCGTTCCTTGGAAGAGGATTGGAAGATATTTGCAATTTGCATTATAAGAAATGGTGCTCCTGAACAAATCATAATCATTGCAATGCGGCTGGTCTCTACATCCGTAGTAATACCACAACCTATGAATTCAAAGGAAAAGTAAAAAAAATATTAAATAAAAAAGTTGACAGTGAACATTCTTCAAAGTAATTATTGTAATTATATGGTGCAATTTTGAAATTAAGTCAAAACTCAGTGTCTAGAAATATATATATATATATATTTAATACAAATGATATTATACTTTAATCTAATCTAAACTACATGAAGGGGGATTCAAACTACAATGGAGAGTCGGAAGCACATCTACTCTAGCCAACTCGACTAAGCCTATTTTTCTTATTTATTACTGTAGAGAGGATACATGATTTTTTATATTTTTTATTTGGAATGTTAATGAATAGGAAATAATCCAATACCTGTCAAGGATGCTGGTAGTCTTTTCCATGATAAAGGTGGAGAGGAAATTGAATCATTGGAAGCCTCAGAGTCAGAGCTGAGTTTATTTGGAAAGTCTTGGCTGCTGACAATTACACAAGTCCCCCAAAGTATTGTTAAGAGCAAAATTGATGTTCCAGCCAACAACCCAACTCCAGTATACACATAATCCGCAGCAATGTCCTTGGAGTTAAAAAATCCAGAAGCTGTAAACAAGGGTTTTCAAATTAAAATTACAATTAGTCAGTCATGTGCTATATCAATTTATATGTAATCAAAGTAAACTCTAGTACAATAACCAAGCTAAATTGCAACTTGCCTAATTAATTTGGTGTCATCAATAATTCAATTGTTTGTTTGATTCTTTTATTCCCTGATTTGGTTTGAGCTTCTGTAGGTCTTGTGTGTAGATGCAGAAAAACTTATATGAAACGGAATAGCACTGTTTTGTTATTTTCAACCAATCGCAGATTGACACGTGAAAAAGTTGTCACGCGTGACATGTCTCGATTGTTTCTCCACCAGGATGCATGTTCTGCTATCTTGGTTTAACGAAGAGAAAAGAAATGGGAAAAAGAAGTAAAGTTATAATGCCTGACATTTATTATTGTTTATTAATTTTCTAATTAATAATAAATATATTGGATTATGATAAATTAATCTTAAATTTAATTTACACCACTAGACCTGTACTATTATACGTTTTAAAATATAATCAAATCTTATATTTGTTGCGTGTAACTAACCATTTATTTGACCCCCCCACAAAACCAAAAAAAAAAAAAAAAAAAAAAAAAAAACTGACCCATTTGAATGTTGACTCTTCCAAGCCGTACAACATTTGACTTTAGCCAACCATTAAGTAATTGTATAATATTGTGGATCACTAATCAGAAAATTTGTCCAACAAATGTGCAAATCACAGGCAAGTATACGGTATATGTTTGATATCACATCATCACTATTGACAGTTGGCATCCCTCACAGCTAGCAATATTATGTATTAATAAACAACAAAAGAACTTGTGATAGCTGTGTTTATATTTGTGAGTGTCACATTTTTCATATGTAATATAATTATTCTAATGTCAGCTATAATTTTTTTTGATGTTGGAAGATGCATTAAGTTTCCTCTTAATTATATCGTGGATGAAAATATTCATTAATTTAATGAATAATGATGTTTAGTTTAGATTAATAATTCGACAACACAATGTATCAGATGATAATTTAATATTTAAGATAGGTTGTTAACATAAAATGCTTGATGATGTTTGAATAATTAATCAGAAATCAGATCCTATCCACATAAGTCAGAGTGTATATGAAGGTTTATGGATCATATATTGTAGAACATTTAGCAGATGATCCTCTATGAGACACACACACAAAACCAACCAAAGTGATAGAAGAAGAAAAAAACTAATGAGAAAAGCAATTAATGAAGAAGATGGAAATTTCAGTTACCTACCAAGAAGTAAAAGAGACTCAGGAAGGGCACCAAGGACATGAAATGCACTGGCACCAAAGACACCAGGACCCAAAATCTGGAAAATCTGCTCACCCCCAGCAGCCAAATAAGACTCTCCATGAAACAGCAAGAACTCATAAACCACCATCAGAAACACTTGCCCATACACACTGTTGGAGCATGGCAAGAACCCATAAAGCTGCTCACATGTCTCCTCTTCTGCAGAATCAATTCCTTTGAAAAGCAACAGGGAGCTGCTGCTGCTTTGATTTTGATTATGAGGATGATGATGATGATGATCTGTTCCACCATCTGAAACCAGTCTAAAATAACGGCCTCGGACTTGGACTATAATTACAAGAAGAACCAAAACCCAATATGCAGTTTTGGTGATGATGTTGCTCATATTCTCTTGTTGCTTTGCTTGGAATGAAGAGGGGAGCTACATGCCAGTTTTCATGGTTTCAAAGCTTTGAAAAGTGTAGCTAGGGAGAGTAGTGTGCATTAATAAGGTCAATGTGTTCTTTTTGTTGATTGTTTATTTAGTGGATTAGGTGATCTTTGGTGACTTTATTCCAAATCAGAAAACACAAAGGAACCAATTGTTTCATGAGTCTTGAAAGGCGTGCATAATTTTTTTTTATTTTATAACTTTGTAACGTTTGTTTTTCTTTTTGGGTCTGTCCAGTCTCATGACCTTGCTGGCCGTCATGTTTGATGCACATGGATTTGTTCTTTTTTTAATCTTCTCAATTTTCTAATATACATATATGGTTTAGGGATTCGTCACTACAAAAAATCACTTGAATTCGATATCATTTGATCATTCAATTGAATTATTGTATTCACCCGTTTTATGTTTGTTCTTGTGATGGTAGGGTAAAGTTCTCCATTGCCTTGAAAACCATTGGCTGGTCAACAAGTCAACTTTCTTTAGTGTGCGAGCATGCCACTGTTAGCAATGAAAAGATCCTAGCAGACTTCTTAAGAATAGATAACTTGCGCCCCAAGTTACTAATTTATAAACAAGTGATTGTGAATTTGGGTGAGGGATATCTTTCAAGTAAGTTATTTTCTTGCCTCAGACTGGTGAGGACTTCACAATTTTTCACAGTACAAAACTGGTAGTTTTGGCCAAAATAAATGATAAGATAGTGAAATGTTTTAGGCAGAAGTGCCTTTTACAAAACTCAAAAGGGAAAAACCAACTCTAGAAAGACAAAAGAATGCTAGACTTCTATTTATGCCTGAATATAAGCTTCTGATCCGGGTTGGACTGGGTGTGCTTGTGTTGGACTTGATTGTCAATAGCTTCAACTATTAAGTTTCAGCTGTAAATCGATGCCAATGTTCAAGTTTGGCAGAGCTTTAATCTATTTCAAGTTCTGGAAGGCTTTTTGAACGGGCAGAATTGTGCATTTTCAGTCTGAAAGGGGCAGAAGTGGCTAGACTTGAGGATTACTGAGCTGGAATTGCACTGTTGTACCTGTTTTGCTTGACTAAGACTCTCCATAAATTTGTTGAGGTTTTTATATTCGTAAAAACTCGAGCTCTACTTGATTTGGCTTTTGCTGAACCAAATTTGTAACGAGAAAGATCTTGTTTTAAATGACTTATTTCTCTAAGTTTGAACTGGAACTGGAACTGGAAGTTTTGATTAAAGCTGGCTTTTTTCTTGTGGCTCAATGAGCTTTTGGTTGTTTCAGTTTGTCTAAAGGTTTTTGAGATCAAGTGATCATTTTGAGTTTTGTCATTGATTGATTTTTTTGGCTATCCTGTGCTCTGTTCACCCTCTATCATATTTATAAGAAATGTTTTTGGAGTGGGGTTTTCTAATTCTTTTAATAATGGGCAGTAAAAAATTCTCAAAAAGTCTTTCATTTTTTAAATGCAAAGAAAAATAGGATTTTATCAATTCTAGCAGATAAGCCATCAATAGTCAATTCCTAAGGCAACCACTTCCTTGTTTTTCTTGAAAGGAAACCCAACTCCTCTTCAATCTTAACTACTCTTTGTAAGAGCTCAAACTATGATGGTTAGTTCGATTTTCCAGATGAACAACTCCCTGCATCCTACTTATCTCCCAAAATATAGTCTGCTTATCTCTTGAAAATGGTGCCTGCTTTGGAGTAGATATTTTTCTAAATATATAAAAGGGAATTTGATCTTCTAGTAACAGAGATTTCAGAGATGTATTTCTTTAATACATGCCCTTATTAATTTTTTATCAACCTAGTTGAAATTGTTAACTTTTCCAAGTCAGGAAATCACGTGGGTCTATTTTAGGAAAAGATCTTCTGATTTTATCAATCTTTTGGGGTAGAGAGTTTAAATGGCATAAAAAGGCTGGGCTAATCTCTTTCTCTTTTAGTGGATAAAAAAGGCCCCAAATATTTTTTGTCTAATGGCCCTTTTCCAAAGAAAGAAATGGGCTGGGTGTTTGTTTGACAATTGGACCAATTCTTGATTCTAATTTGAACAAAGAGCCCAAATGGCTTGGATTCTGAGCTTTCTGGGCTCTATCATTGTTTTGGGCGTGCACATTTTGGTCCAAACATATTGAAATTTTAGTACTTTCTTGAAGCACCATGTTTATTGATTTTGTAGGACACAATTGGATATCGAAACGGTTTCTGATTTGTTTAATTTTTTGCAAAAATGATCTATGAATGTAGACTTAAAAAATAGATTATTTGGATCATTGAAAAAATATTTGTAAGAGACCCTAAACGATGTCCCTCAAATAAAATTATTTGAAGGATCCCTCAATAGAAAGGGACTACATAATTATTTGAAAATGATGATGATGATGATTTGTTCCACCATCTGAAACCAGTCTAAAAGAACGGCCTCGAACTTGGACTATAATTACAAGAAGAACCAAAACCCAATATGCAGTTTTGGTGATGTTGTTGCTCATATTCTCTTCTTGCTCTGCTTGGAATGAATAGGGGAGCTACATGTCAGTTTTCATGCTTTCAAAGCTTCGAAAAGTATAGCTAGGAACATCAGTGTGCATTAATAAGGTTGTTGATGGTTGATATCATCATTGTGAGCCAAGTCTATCAGAGAGCACCACGTGGCCACTAGAGACCAGATCTCTCTTGTACTCACCCGACCAGGTTGACCACCCCGGGTGTCGATAAAGGGCCTCCTAGCCGAACCTATCATAAGATAGTGTGAAACCGTGGTCGGGCATTCAAACACCGACCTGACCATCGAGATGTTGTGTAACCAAATACGCGGTGATATTTTAACATGACCAGACCCTTGTTGAGTCAGTCACTCAATGCATCTGATGCTAGCCTGGTGATGGAAATGGATCATTTAATGTGTTTCACATCCAAAGCCAAGTGTAGCTTTGCTACTTGATCCATTGTAACCAGCTTGGTGAGGAGCGCCCATAGTGGCTCTCTAGTCCGACCATTGGGTGAAGAAGAGCTCTCTTGCCCTGAAAAGACTGGAGGATATTTGCCCTCTCTTTCTCCCCCTATAAATACTCTTCACCTGTATTAGGACAAAGATAATAAATATTCTCATATGCAAACTCTTCATCTCTATTTCATCTTTAAACCACTTCTAACTTAGCATCAGAGGGGGTTCAACTAGGGCACACCCAGTCTGCCCTTATTCTGATAATTGCTTGAAGTGTGCAAGTCATCCTAAGAGAGCAACTTAGCCACGTGATTGGGTATAAGTCCTAGCCTTGACCCAGGTTAAGGATATAATATTTTAAATGCGTATAGCCGTGCGGCTATACTATTCATAATTTTTTATAAAAAAAGCCCTCGTAAAGCCGCACTGCTATATGCTTTTTTAAATGAAAAAAAGGATGCCTAGTATAGCCGCGTGGCTATACTATTTGTAAATAAATAAAAAAGGGACGCGCCTGCGCTAGCGCCCATGTGTAAAAAAAATATAGCCGGCCGGCGATACCATTTTTTATAATAAAAAACCGTAGTATAGCCGCTCGGCTATATTCTTTAAGTAAATTAGATTTTAAAGGAGTATAACCGTGTGGCGATACTATTTATTTAAAAAAAACAATTAAAAAAAAAAAACCCTTGTAAAGCCGGGCGGCTATACATGAAGATTAGGCTGCTTTATTGGGGCGCAGATTAATTGTTTATTAACTTATGGACTTACTATTTAGAACTATTTTGCACCACAACACACAACGGAAATGCTTAGAGCGAGGAGCTTATTACACTCTTTATTATAGAAGCTCCCCAACACACAATACTAATAATCATAACTTATTTAAATGGAGTGATTTGAAATACGTTTCAACACAGATGAGTTATGTCAGTTGGTCAATATAGTGAGTCCGCATTATGTTTTCATAATGTACAATCAAAATATCTTATACCACAAATGTTTTTAGCCAATTTGACATATTACATTTTCATAAAGTGTTTGAATGTACTATTCAGGTTCATAATTTGCAACATAACATGTTAAGTATACAGTAGAAGACATTTCTTCACTTCAACTACAACTACGACAAGTTAAAGCAAAAGCAAAATAAACACAGATTTTTTACTCAACATTATGAACTCTCTAGCTGCTGAAGGGCCAGATAAAAGAGATATCTTAAATTCGTGAGTGAAAAGAAGAAGTCAACTAAAAGGACGTTTCAAGCAAATTCTCAAAACCCCAACATACGAATATTATATTGTACATATGCTTCATTACCAACGGCTTTCCACAAATGGACATATTCTAACATGACATATTATACAAAAACCCTTATATAATTTATTTGGAGGGAAAAAGCCAAAACTAGCAACTTATCATTTTCTAATTTGTTCTTATAAAATTTTAGCCAATTAGACCATGATAAGTGGCTAGTTTTGAGTTTTTCTCTCCAAATAAGCTCTATAAGGATTTTTGTATAATATATCATACTAAAATGAGTTTTTAAATAAATATCTCAAACAAGAATTGATGCAATGCTTTAAAGCATGGCTGCAAGCGAACTGGGAAAGCCCAAATCAATAAAGGTATGTGAGCATCCAATAGAAAAAGAGAAGGAATTTTGAGAAAACAAACCCCTTTTAATCATACGTTTGCCTGTTGCGAGCCTCAAAACACAAAGTCAATCACGGCAAAACCTTTCTTTTTTCAGTGGAAATCGCCCTTGACTTTATTTTGAAGGTGGCATGGGGCATCTCAAATGAATTGATATGCATGATTTTGGAATCAAGTTCCCATATATAAAGTGAAAGATAGAAATCAGGTTTGCATAGATTTTGTGCTTTACCATCCCAAGTTAATTAGTTAGACTTAAATCAGCTAATTATTTGGGTGCCCTAGCTACACTCAGTGACAGTAATCAAATTATCCTCCCAAATTAATGTTGATTAGCTATATGCTTGTTTCCAGTGACATATTTAGAGATCATTT